AAGTGGTTAAGGCGTCTGGCATTCTGTTACCACTAGCCCTCCACTACTTTGTCGGGGGTTCGAGATCTACATGGGGCAGTCGCCATGTACTGGCCGTAGGTCGGTGGTTTTTCTCCGAGAAGTCTGGCTTTCCTCCACCACCGAAACCTGGCACGTCCTTGAATGACCATAGCTGTTCATAGAACGTAAAACACAAACCAACCAAACTAAAACCAAACCAAACACTTTTCGTTGTATTCTGCATATGCTTGGGGTCACTTTAGACATGGAGTTTTCATTCTATTAACCTTCCACTGATGAGTCCGAAAATGGTACTTTAAAATGCTTCCTTTGTTTGGATTCTTGCATCTACACACAAAAAGTTTGACATAAGTGCTTCATTTCTTAGTATTTTTTTCCTGTACGAATTTTAAAACGAACACAAGAAATTAAAACAGTGATTTGACATGCAAACAAATCTTTCGATCAGCCCAGGTGAAGGCATTGCTTTCCAAACTCTGCGTTTTAATCTACCAATAAATATCACTCAACCAACATTTGCGCCTCAACACTTTTTTATCTTATGATATAGCGTGGAAGTTTATAGATAGTTTCACTAAGAATATAAACTTATCACTATATCAGAAGAATTATAACAGAACGTTTTGTAGAACGGTAGTTAATGACACGAAATAAATATAAATATTGATGTTTATGTTCATGAGGTATGGTCAGATGAAGCATTATAACACTCATTTCGCAACATCAAAAGGACTACAATAGTCGGGACGCATTCATCAGAAAGCTGTAACCATCGTTGTTTATTCGCGTGGTTTAAGTATACAATGTTAACATTTCTATTTGCTTGCTGCAATGAAACACAACACAATCGCCATGTAATAGACATCGCTTTGCTTTGTGAAAATACATTAGCTAGGGCCTATATTTTATAATTTCTCCTCCTGATGTAAAATATTGATAAAGATGAAGAGAGACCGGACACAGCTACGACATTGCTCTTACTGATGTCCATGATATCATAGCAATCACCCCCACAATATTGGCATTATTTTGTCTTGTTGTGAATTGCATTTGCTATGTTTTATGTATTTCGCCCACTACTGGGGAGTGTTGATAAAGATGAGGAAACACCGGACACTGCTATGCCAGGTCTCTAACTAATGCCTTTGGTAATACGATAGTCTTTTTATCCGAACTCGATATTCGGAAAGTAAGACATATCTCCTGGATAGGCCATCTTGAATATTACGAATGTTATCGTTAAGGCAGTTACTATAAAAGCATATAATTTCGTTGGGGTTAAATTTCGTTGTTTTTGCAAGGGGACCAATTCGTTGGGATTATATTTCGTGGAATTAATATTTTAAAACCTTGTATTTTCTTCTGGTAGTTGAAGCTGTTTGAATATTTCTAAAGCAACTTACAGATGTTAAATCCTTGCCAAACCAAACAAACAAACGCTGTGTCAGAGAATGAGAAATGAATTTCATCACCGAGGGGACTAGGCTAATTTTTTGTAACTACTTCAGTTGGTAGTAATTGTCTGAAGGTGTAATACAAAACAATGTCAAGCTCTGCCCAGTGACGACAATCAAGAGTTTTCTCTAAGGTTGGGATACTTTAATACCTGTACAACAGAATAAGGGATCTTGTATTTTCCGAGATAAGAGCGAGTTAAAAGGTTTTTTTTTCTGATGTTAGGTTACATTATACCTACAATGTAACCATTAATGCTAGGCGAGGCGATGCTCATCTTGTTTTTCATATTGCTGTACTTTTTCTGGTGTCGCTGCCGAGCGGAGCAAGTATTAGATTTCTCAGAGGTTTGAAAAAACCAAGTTCGAGATTTTTAACAAACATTTCGTTTGATGTTGTTATGTGGTTGTCAGGCTCTTCTTGTCTTGTTTTATTTTCGATTCCTTTGTTTATTTTCAAGTCGATACAATTTTGTTCTTGTGTATTGAAGCTGTAGGTCGCGGGTTTTTCTTCGGGAACTCCGGCTTTCCTCCACCACCAAAACCTGGCACGTCCTGAAATGACCATATATTTGAAAAGGATGTAAAACATAAACAAACCAAAAAGTGTACTGAAGCTGTGTTTTACCAATATTTAACATAACAATACTGTAAGGAGATGTGGAATTAATGTCAGACTTTACATCCAAAGAAAAATCAAAAACAAAGTATCAGCAGTACATATTCTAATGTTGATTTTGTTTAATGCTTATTTGTCAGTATCCATGTTATAGACTTGGTGACTACCTAGTCTATCTAGCTGTATTAGACTAATCACCACCTATAATGCCGGGCTATCTATCATCAGACATGGTAACTGTGTTATTATGTATAAAGCGCCACCTATATCACCTGTCTGTGTGTTGTATTCAAGCTCTGTTTAGGCGATGCACTTTTAAAAACAAACATTGCATTAATGCACCACTTCGTAGACACCCATGGGCAATGTTAAATGTCTTTTCCTACTGAAACCGTACAAAATCAAAGGGCTATTGACACTGAGAAAGTGTACGAGAGAGTAGTTTAAACGGCGTTGAAGAAACCTCAGAGCTATATTTAGTTTTCGACCTTACCACACCGCTACTTTTAATACGGTTTATGATAAAGTTTGTTTATCCTATGACTGTTTAATGTATTTTAACGACGTTTTGTTTTGGTGAATGACAGCCTCTTGTGACAATGAACGTAGGAAGACGCTAAAGTGCAAATTTTCTAAATGTCAGTCCATAAGCAAATAGTATTGCGTCAGCATTCAATGTTGCTAGGTATGCCTTTTAGTAAGATATACTTATTTCTGTAAGACTGCACAGTAACAATACATGGGATCATCATGTGTCATTTCTTCGAAGTTGTGGGACACTGGAAAAATGGCCTGATGTATTACAATAAAATATCTGGGCCTTAAATGCCGACCGGCATGAAGCGGATAGGTAGGTAGGTAGATTACAATGAATGATCCAAAGCAGTAATTAATGTGGAGCTTTGACTTTTCTTCTATGTTCAGCTTTCTGCAATATTGAAAGACCAAACTTGGTCTGCTTCTCCCATTGCATTCTCTGCCTGCCCTCTGCATGCCCTCTGCTTGTCCTGATTGACCCCAATGTATTTATGAACTGTATAGTATGGAATGTTCGTTGTTTATAAAAAATCATTTTTTTTGTGGTTGCCATTAGACCATGAAAATAAATACAACGAATATTTCCACGCATCAAAAGAATATGGCTATCAATAATTTCACAGATGAATTCATAACATCCCCGGCATCTATATGAGTTACTTTTAGTGCACCCGTTACACCGATCAAATGCTTCGTATGGTTTACCACTAACTATTTTCTCTAAACAAAAAATGAATTATTCCTTTAGTTTTTTTGACAACTTTCATCATGAAATAGCAACTGTATAACTGACAGGAGTAAGTCCCATTCGAAAACATTATCCGCGAAAATTGATACCCACCGACACGATCTAATGGCTTCAAACCACGAACGAAAGTACCCACGAACATTTCTGTCGATATAGTACCGACGTCATGTAATGTAAGCTTGTGTACAGTATTCTTATCGTGATCAGTTAATGCGTATCGATTAACGTTGTAATAAATAGAGAATATATTTAATGGTTTCCTATATATTTTCACGAACATGGCAAAATATTGTCCGAAGCCCATGTGACAATAAAGGTATATTCTCCCAAACAATGCTGCGTGTCAGTTTTGAGTAGACTACTCGACGTAGATTTATTGTTTTGTGTATTAATCTGGCCAGATTGTGTAGTTACGTAATATCATCGCATATGAAGTAATTGTATACCAAAACAACACATTTTCTACCGTTGCTTCATCTGCATCTGATGCTGAAAATATTTGGCTTTCAACACAGTAAATACGAAAGTTGAAAAAAAAAGATATCAACTTTGTCCAAATGTTCAGTGCAGTTATGGTTATGAGAGAATAACAAGGAGTATGTCTCTAAATATTTTCATTTATTTAAATCACGCAGTTTTGCTTAGTGACCATGTCAGTAATAGTGTATGAAACATGAAAAATACATTACATATCATCATGGAGTAACTAAAAGATGAAAAACTCCTCCAAGCCTGAATAGTATTTACAATCAAAGAAGTAAGTTTTAACAAAAATATCGAGATTTACAGCTTTATTTTAATATCTGCTCAGTTTAGTTCTAGGAGACATAACAGGTATTTCCAGTCCTGGATTTTCGTAAGCATTTGACATTCTTAAGAAGTTTACGTGGTGATTTATCTTTATCACTATCTTAAACACGGGAATACTCGCGCTAATAGTCACGTTAACACTGAACAAGCCTACGTCGTTTACACGTATTGTCCGTCAAGAAATTTGGAGGAGTTGTATACCTGCTGTAGATCTATACGCGAGCCAACATTTATCAATTGTTTATACACGAGCGTAGCTATGAAATTAGCTATTACGTTTCGATGAGCCCGCGTTGTTCACAGTTTACCCGTGATCTCTATCTACCACGTGTACGCGGACCTTGCTTCCTGCCATCCGCCGGCCCTATACCTGGCTGACGGTGTGGCGCAGCAGTATGTGACCAAGGGATGCTGAAGCTGTGTATCCATTCAGAGCCAGTACTGAGAGTGATACGTACATTATCCCCGTGACACGTGCCACATATACGCTCATTGATCAGTAGAAATAGTAGCCTACGCCACAGTCCACTATACAAGTCGTCGTGGCTAGCTCTCAAACAATAACAAAAACATTGCAGAGCGACACGCGTTCATTTACCGTAACGAAAAGTTAAATAATTGATTGATAGAGAATCGTCAAATTGTCATTTTGTGAAACGGTGGTGACACATGCTGTAGTGCGGATTACGGCGACTGTCCAAATGGGTATCTTCTACCTGCCGTGAGAGGCTGAGTGTTTTGTGTGATCCTTTGTGATTTTCTTACCTAGAATGTCCCGACTAAGGGGATCATCTCCTTTTACTCCTTACAGGGTACAGGAATCGGATGGGAATTTCTTTGAAAGTTTCACAGCGTTGTCATGGAGACAAGCCAACAAGAGACTACGTGCTACATCTGAGGTAAGTGCAAAATACTTTCTATCTAGAGCGTAGCGAAACGATGATTTGTAAACAAGCTATGGCAGCCTCGTTGTTGTATATACAGGAAACAACGATGAACAAGATGATACAATAGTAGTGTACCCAACGATAAAGCGATCGATCTCTCTCATCGACAAACACACTCTACAAGCTTAACGCAACGAAAGTGTGAATATTATATTAACGTTTGTATTATCAGCATTAAATTTCGGTTTCCATACAGAGAGATATACATTTAATATATCTGGCTGAATTGACATTTGACATAAATCAATAGGGATATACAATTTCAGAAAATAATTCATTTTGAATTTATTACCGATCAAGTTGACCAATCACAATCATAATGCTGATTTAGCCATAATCTTGATAATTTGATGATTTGTCAGTTAGACGAGTTGTACACTCTAATTTTCAAACCATATTTTTATCTTTAATAGCTTGTTATATTTTGCCCATTGTCTTCAGATATTCATTTGGAGTATATTGACATGTCAAATATGTCACAACATTAACAGAAATCCGTGCACACTGAATCGACACATTGCATGCGCATCTCACGAAGCTTACCATGCTTTAAACAAAGTTAGACGCCTATCTTAACTGTCATAAGCAATTGGTCATCGGCTATACAATATAGTATAGTTAGATGGACCGTGTCTTTGGCTTAAGCGACACGTCCTATATTACGATTTCAAGCACCGCATAGATCAATTCTTTACCTAGCTTGTCATATGCAATCGTTACGGAAACGTTCATTAACTCCATCGCCTCCGACATTGCAAATGGTAAAGAACTTATGCACTGAACCCGATCGCGTTTGATTTATTACCTTAAGGATATCGTTATTCCTATTTTCAAATTAAAATTGTATTTGATTGAATCTATTCTTGATGATTAGTTTTGAGTGTTATTTGTCTTATGGGGATTATTTTGGCTGCAAGAATGTTTATGTTACTTTCCCGTTTTTATACGGGACGCAATTAGTTAATTTTATTAAAGCGCATAACGGCACATAAAGAAAATCGTTGGATCTTCGATCGATATTTCGATAAATCAGCTCTATGAATTGTTTGTAGGGCAGAAACATTGTACAATTACCGAGATATTGCGCTACGTCGTAATTACTTTTTTTCATTATCTCAGTATATTAGTTATTTTCTTATTCTTGTCTTCAGGAATCCGCTTTAAAATCGCTTTTCCCGAGAATTAATTAGTCTGGGCTTGATACTTGCATGTCCTCTGGGAAAGAACCCTAAGCGAAGCGAATTTCCCTCACTAAATAACAAGAGATATCACTGTAAAATTCGCAATAATCCTCATCGTCTCTGAGGTAAAGGCCAACCCCTGGATGAAAGAAATATAACACTTTTACTTGAAAATGTCATCCACCGACGCATAATGTTTTTGCACCCTTGCTTCCAAAGGCCGTAAGGCCAAATTTGCCTTCGGACAAAGGGACGCTAGTAAAATCATTCATAAGAAATTATAAACAGGTTTTAGAGGCAAGTGTTTTTGTGAAAATATTGGACTAAGGATCCCCATTCCACTGCCAAAACTGTATTAAAAAGTTGCAAACTACAACTGTGATCAATCATTGCCTTAAAGAAACCAAACCATATCTTGCGGGACATTTATGAGAAAATAGTAAAGATGAAAAAACACAACAAAGTATAATCAACAACAGTGTTCTGAATAAAACAAAAAATACCCAGTGGGGCTAGACCGGGATTCGAACACTGGTCACTTCAGATTGTTATACTATCGTTCTAACCAACTGAGCTACCTGGTCAACAGAAGTGCCCTCGCTCAACTGTGCTGCAGCTATATCCAAGCGGAGGTTTAAAGAAGGTTACTGTATACACAAAAAACAACCAGCTAAGCAATTGACACGATTCGGTAGATGACCTCATTTAATTGGGAACAACGGGTCCATTATTTCTTCCGAAACCCCCACAGGAAAGCCTGCAGTGGTATAGGTGCTTAAGGTCTACTAAGCCATGCGTAGCAAGGTATTGGATTTAAAGATCCGATAGTCGTAGTGTTTGAGGCGCCTTCTGCCTACTGCAAGTGGAAAAGTTGCATATATTGGGGAAAAAAATAAATATATATATCATATTTCGAAAGTATCAGAGTTGTCTTGGTTACTTGTATCTGGTCGGTTGAAAGGCTATTACGTCACTAGACAGTACCATCTAACACGTGTAAAATGAGAAAATATATTGAAATGATACTAAAATGAGTTCTATGTTTTAGAGCAAATACGGCATAGTCGATTTTGAATTTGGTTTTTAATTTTTGTCTGAATGAGATATGCAACGATTTTATACGCAATTTTTCACCCTGTTTCATTTAGTTCACCAAGCAGTCATAAGAAAGCACCTTCAATTCAAATACAAATCGCATTTTAGAAACCCTCAACAAAATGATAGAGACTGCTGTAATAACGCACCAGATATATGCACGGACGTTAAGGTAAATGAATTTGATTCTGCAAATCAGGTAAAATTCATTAGATGATTTTGAAGATGAGGATGAGAGATGAAGATATTTCGTTTACACACTCAAAAACATGGGATTAAAATTAACTTGGCACATAATTGAAACATGCTAAATTATACTCATGTGTTATGTAAAATAGAAAATATACCTGGACGTCACGACGCCGATTGGAACCCATTTTAAAAGAAAAAGAAAAAATAACGACAAACAAGACAAACAAACAGTTATTTACTCAAAAATGTTAAGTTTAAGCATGTTTGCACCACGTTTGGCAGCCGTAATGATGTTTCCTGCAAATTAGGAAATAGTATTATTGATGTATTGATATACAACAAAGAAGTTATGGTTAGGTTATACAGATAACACTGAAATCTTTTACCCATGCACTCCATATTGTTTCTATGTCCACACGAAAAAGTTGATTAAGTAAGGCGATATAAGGTTCATTCAGCGAACACAATGGGCCTAGCCTGTCTTACAGGATCGAGGTTTGTTGTTGAAACTACTAATTAATGGTTGGTAACATGATACCAGATAACAGGTGTGGTTAGCACGACACAATTAAATATACCGAGGAAGAAACTCGGGACAATGAATGACTCTTGGTTGAAATATCTTTGTTGAGTTCACCGGAACAATTTCCCAGCATCCTTAAGCATCTGAAAAAAATCTGCACCCTCTTATGGTCGACTTGACTCTATTTTAAGCGAGGCCGAATTTATAGAAGAGATTATCAGACCTAAAAAGGAAACCTTTATTTTTTCTTTTAGATATATCGACGGTGTGGTATCTTTAAATAACAGGAAATCGTCAGTTGTATTTTTCCTCTTAAGCTTTAAATAGAGGACACTGCGTACATTTCTACATCAGCTGATTTCTTCGATCTCTTTTGCAACATAATTAAAAGTGACGGCTCACCACTAAGCTATGCGATAACCGTGACGATTTCGAATGACAGGTCGTGAACTTTTTTGTTGTTTTTGGTAATAACATCCCAGCTTCCCAAACCTATGATGTTGACATGGCTATTTTGTTATCACTACCCCTACTCTCGCTATGAGGACGTGACAATAGTTGAAGTTTACATAGATTCAAATTGCGAATGTCGTTGATGAAGCAATATAGCTTACCGTTCAAGAACTCCTGGCCCCGGGATCATAAGCTTTTTGCTCAGCCAATCAAGTATGACGTCACTTTTCATGACGTTATTTTTGATTGGCTAAGTCAAAAGATAGACAATTTTAGATTTAAATTCATTTTATGATCCCGGGGCCTGATCTAGTTTTCCTTTTTATCTCTACAAGGGTTACAATGTTTTGTTAAATAGATGGCTAATGAAATTCACGAATAATACAAGGCGTTAAAAGGTTTATTTCTGATTGGGCAACATAGAATTTATAGCTAAATCTACTTGCGTACGGATTCCACTGATAAAAAGAGAATACAGATTTTCATGGCAACGTGAAAACAACCTAGAACTACAAGGTAATGTGAAACCAACTAAATACGACAATCTAAGAACCCTAATTAAGGAATTCACTTGTGTCATAAATGTTTAAACATTTTTTTCATCAGTTAAGGCAATGGAAATGTAACTAACAACAAATTACGCTTCAACATTTTGTTATGGAAAGCGTAATGTTATCCTGAACTTATCCAAACAGTTCATCTGTTACCAAAGGAACTCACTTGTTCTTCAGGGTTAGGATTTTCAAACTGTTAAAAGCAATAATTCTATAAGCTGTGTCAAAATATATTTCTTTGTACAAACATGCTCTTCAGTTATTATCACGGTTTACGTATAAAACTTTAACACGCAAATATCGTCTTCAGGTATTATCACGGTTCAAGTATAAAACTTTTACACGCAAGTATCTTCCTCAGTTATTTTCACGATTTAAGTATAAAATTTTAACACGCAAATATCTTCTTCAGTTATTATCACGGTTTCAATATCAAACTTTAACACGCAAATATTCATGTTTTTTTTCTTTATCAGCATATGTCGGGGTATGCAATTTGTCGCAAACCACTGTTGTTGATCATTTTATGAGGCATTAACGTACGCATGCCTTGCTGTTAGGTCCCTGCAGGTAGCGCGTAAGAATTGTACCTGCTGTCCCCATTGCATGATCGTAAGACTAAATTTGGGATCTTATCTTTTCTCTTCTTTCTAGGCAATTTTCTTCTTTCTTATGTCTCCCTTGACAATGACTCACTTTTGGCCTTTAGTTGAGCGTTCGCCCCTGTGAGGAAGGCTTTGAGTCCTGTTCCCTGGCTAAGACTTACCAGAGTCTGTAAAAATGGTAGTTCTACACCTGCTTAACGCTCAGCAATTTAGGAGTGGGACGACTGGTTCGCCCGTTGTCAGTATAATGTGACCGGGTGGGGTGTCCTGCTGGGTGTCTTCGGCACTATGTTTCAGTGAGGTAGCACTATAAAGTCGGCATCAGTTCCGCGCTATTACAAGGAGACAA